ATGAATACTTTTGATCAATAATGTATAACAAAGAATTGATCATTAGAGAGTTATAGATAAAAGACTTTTGGCCCCTCTTAGCCCCTAATTTGAAGGGTCAGCCCTATTTTTTTTTATATCAAATGAAAGGTCTTGCGATATTGAATATTTTGTCTTCAATGTGTTTTAACAAATTATGAACAGGAGTGAAGATATGAGACAAAATGCGTCAAATTTTGTGAGATATTTCTGAGACATTTTTTCGGCCCTACCGAACTCAGGTACCTTTTGCGCTAGAAAGATTTGGAGACCCAATTACAACTCACCAAACCTTTCTCTATTTTCCCTGAAAATCTCAAGTCCATATTTTAAGTCGTTTCGGAGGAGTTTCCCGGACAAGCCGACCCTCTGAAAATCAGAAAATCGTCCATATCTCACGACCAGAAGTGAGATAATCAAAAAGGAAAAAAACCTATCAAGATCAATTAAATATCTTTCAGATCTGAAAGTTTGGTAGAAATCGGACTAGCCATCTCTGAGAAATCGCTTGCACAAAATCGGTTGGAAGAATAATATTAAAACTATACTCAATGCAACGTAATTGCGATGTAGCAATCTAAAGAATTTTCCGCAACTCCTCCTGTACAACTGAATAAAATTTAGTGATACTTTCACAGAATCTTTATTACATTATGCCATTTTTGCACCTCCTATTGACTTTTTGATCTGACATTTATTCCCTGTCTCCGAGTGCAAAACATGGACATTGCCATCAGAACCATATGGGAGGCGCGGGAGTATCAATTAGTGAGTTCATCGCTCAGAAGTACCTATAATTTTAGTACATGTACGAGAAATGTATTTGAGTACTCATGAGAACTAATAAATTGTAATAAATTGTAGAATGGCTCCTAACTAGAGAAAAAAATTATCACTTTTATTTTTTTTTACTTCAGCTTTTAGGTCATGTGGATGATTTTCAACAATATGAATTGCAACACAATAATTGACACGTACATGCATGCATATGGTCAAAGAAAAACTAATAAATTCAGATATTTCGAATTGAGACTTGATTCGAAAAGTGCAGAGAAAGTTGTTATCTTTTATATTTCATTTGTTTGAGTGCATCTTTAACGATTTTAAAAAATCAATCAAAACTCACTCCGTACAGCTAGTGATGGATACATAACCAGGATAATTTTGGATTTGTTCATTACAATTCCAGCAAGCTCTTGGCATTTTTCGCAATTCAAGTCAATCAAACAGCCAATTTGTCAAGATGAAAAATAGAATACCGGTATTTATTTGTACCAAGTACTAATACACTATAGTTAATTGCTTTTCGAGCGATGAATTTTAAAACACATTTGGTCTATTAAAGGCGATGGTATTAAGCTATACCAGTATTCTAATTGTTTTCCTCTCAAACTTTCGTTTGCAATGAAAGCTAAAAGAAATTAACAACAACAACAACACTGTTTGTATGTCATCAGACCAAAAAATGCATTAGTGACGAAAATTTAAAGATTTAAAAAAAAACAAAAACAAACTAAATTAAGTGTGGTAAGGGACGGATTATGTTCTTATTTGAGTTCAAAATGGGATAGGTTAGAATTTACTTTCACTTCCTTTTGTTTTCTTTGAAACTAGTGCTAAATTATTACAATGTTTATGCGAAGGCCAAACAAGGACAATTTTCTCTCATCCCGATGAAATTTCGTCAAATTTTAGATACCTTTCTCATTTTGGCATCTACCGTAACATCAGCCTCCTTCCAAGCCAGGGGTCCTGAAGTCAACACGTTACCGTTAGACCCCTGTCATATTTCATTTAATATCCGTGGGCTTGCTGTCTCGATTGAGAAGCACCAATCAATCAAATTAAAGTTGTTTATCATAGAATATTATATTTTCATGTAAATTAGTTGAATCGAATTAGTCGAGAAACATTTGTTAAAAAAACACTATTACCCGCTGAATAATGAAGCCAACAGTCAACAGTGCTTGACTACGGTGAAACATCCAAAAAAATTGCGACTGCACAGAATTAATGCGTGCACGGTTCACTGTTATATGTGTTTGTATAAAACATTCAGTATAATAATTATAATAAATATTGCATGTAGTTGTTGACAATGGTTTCTTGGGATGAAAATTGTCAGACGTTCCACGAACTACACACAATATTTATATAATTTCTTTATATGATTGGTTGAGAAATAAGAAAAACAATCAAGTTTTGCAAATATTCCGAAAGACGTCGCTAGAGTCAGCCAACTGATATTGAATATGCCAGGGGTTGTGCCAGGAATATGCAATGTGTTGACTTAGGACCCCTGGCTTGCGAGGATGTAACATAAGGAGTTTCTGTAAGTTTCTGACATAGATCTAGATCTAGGACAGATCGCATGACTTCATTAATGATATATCACATGTCATTCATTTTTTAAAAAATGAATTTTCCCCAAATACGTGTCTCCATATCTAAAATTAAAGGGGTTTATGACACGAGTTTTTAATAAACAGGGCTTTCGCGGGTGGTTTTTATAAAACCTTATGATGTTCATGTAAAAAAATTAATTATTTTGGCATTTCGTGCCGGCTTTTTTTGTAATAGTTTACATTGGAGCTGAATTGCTAGTACAAGTTTCTGGAATCTGAAGCCGTGCATAGGCAGGTTTCAGATGGGATTGTTTTGTATGGGTTGTTGATATTTAAAAGAGGTTAGTCTGAGTACGACCAATTCTTAAACAGAAGCAGGTTACTAATAGATAAGTTGATGTTACCGGGATTTCAACAAGTTTGTATTTAAAAAAATATCTTATTTTATGGTCGTTTTGATTTTTGTTAGCAAATATAACATTACTGTTTTTTATATTTCCTACCATCTATAAAGCATTAGTTTTATGCTTAATTTATTTCAAAGAGCCTGTGACGGGCATGACCGGGCAACATAGAATATTTATTGGGAATAAATGATTGAGCATAAGAATAATAGATAATCATTAACCTACCATTTGAGATCCTTTTGATTCCTTCAGCTCTCTGTAGCATGCTCAGCGTAAAGTCTTTAATAAATTTAATCTTCTTGACATTTTGAACTGACTATATTAGATATTGTTAATTTCATTTTATTTTGTGAAATTTTGCCTCCTTGGTTGCTAGATTTTTTCATTACTGTATGAAGATAAGTGACAATGATTTTTCTTTAAAATTTAAAATCAGTTTGGTTAATATTCTTGCAAATGATTAATAACTATTTTAATCTGTTAGCCCTTTTTTGGTAATCCACAGGTCTTCGATTTAGAAGTCAATCATTTTGCTGTAATCAACTCCTACCATATTTTAGTCAAAAAACTTCCAGAAAATTCTTTGATTTTGGTGGTCAATAATTGAGGAGTTTAACAACCTACTAAAAAAATTTTTAATTAACAAATATACCTTTAAAGTGTTTTTCAATTCACTAAATTTTTAATTGAATTACATGTACGTCAATTAGGTATACAACATCAAATCTTATTTCCGTCCTGTTATAAATAAATATTATACTTTCATTAAACCGTGGGCATTTCCCTCCATATCCTTAATGGGAAAGTGTTTCCTAATTTTCGAATTTTTTAATTGAATTATACTGATTAAGTATAACACATCAAATACTTTATTTCCTTTCTGTTATTGCTTCTTTTCTATTCTCTTTTTTTTTTGTTCTGAAAATTTTTGAATGGAAGACAATGCATTAAAAAATTTGCATTGCATCAACACAAATTTACAGAGGACCATTACCAATTTGGTTTCATTTATAAAGATAAAAATAGATAAAATTTAAAAAAAAAACCCACATTTATACACAAGAAAACGATACAACGATATATAGTTATCAGCAGTATAACTCTCTAAGTACTGACAGTTGTTCATCTTTTTTATCTTAATATTTCCCGATTTGGCAAGGGTTGAAATGACACCACAGTGTATTCGTACTTTGTATCAATGGAGCTCTGAAAATATAGTTATCATAGATGCAAGTCTTATTGTAGTTATTGAAAACAGGGCAAATACAATATTCGGTATTTTTGGTCTAATGTTTTTTTTTGCAACAAAGACACATTTTGAATTTCCCTTCACTATCATTGATGAATTGAAAAATTCATTTGTGCAATAGCTAAGGATTGGCCCTCTAGTCTGTTAATATTCTTTTTTTGGAGAGCTACAGTTATGCAGCTAGCTCAAGTCTGAAAAAAAAGCAAAAAAAAACTCATGCAATCTTCGCCAACACCCAGGAGAGAAGAGTCCTTAAAAAAAGTTTTCTTTTAGTGTGTGTAGTACTTAAAATTTAATGTTTTATTTTCACTCATACTTACGTACTTATTTCTCCAGGATTTTTTTTCTGTAATAATGCGAGGGTTCTGATGTTACCGTCTTTTCAGATTTACTCTCTTCAATTTTTTCCCAGATGCCAAAGGCATCAATCGTAATGTATGATACATCATGTAATTGCTATACGTTACTAAAGAAATGTTTAGAATATGATAATGAATTTAAAAAAAATTACGCGACACCTTTTACCAAATGAAGTAACCTTAACTATTGACAACTCACTTTGTTCAAAATAGGAATATCTATAGAATTAAACAAAACCAGAGAGATTAGCTATACATGTAACAAGCTGGGGGGTTGCCATATTTAATGTTTATACCTCATAGACATGAAAAAAATTTTTTCCCCAAAAACAATGCTTTCCAATGGATGATTAGAATCATCCATGTGGCTTTATTAATCATAAAAGGGATTTTTTTTTAAAAGCATTAGGTGTAGCCGTAACTTACCTTTTATAGTTATTTTAACCAATTAAATACAAAAGACCAAACCCAAAACCCTTCCCCTTGAACGTATTAGAAGCAAAGCAAGAGTAAATTCCAAATTGTTGGTATGGAGGTTGTTCATCATCAAAGAAGACCTGTTACTGTTGGGGTATTTTATTGTCTTCTCTTTTGTTGATAGATAGAAATGCCCATCTTTTACTGGGGAAGGATTACCGTCAAAACACATTCCAGTTTTAAATCGTCACCGGCGAAGTACATTTCTTTGAACGGCACAAGATCAATTACTGGAGCTCCTGGTTCATCTTCAAAATAAAGATTCAATTATAAAGTAAGGTAAATATACTTATATACCAGCATTACTGGCCTTGTCAGCATTATATCAAAAGAAGTCTACCAAAGCTGTTGCATTACATGTGCCTACTACAATTGAATATTAAAGTTACAAAGCCGAGAATGGATTAAAAAAAAGTATGCGTTCGCATAAGAAAAGAAAAAAGAACACAGGTTAAAAAGAGCAATGAATTTTTGCGTAAAATATGCAACAGCAACCTAAAGGCGGGTGGACAAGAATTATAATTATATTCGAACTTTCCTTAAAAAAAATGCAGGTGAAATTGAGAATGTAATATTTTATTATTATCAAGGGTAAATATTGATCAGTTTGGTACACTTACAAAGAACTGAGATTCTTTTGAGATCTTCCGGTCCTGGCTCCTGTGTAAGATTATTTTGTGAGGAACAAAGAAATTTCATTCCGTTGTCCTTTCTGGAAACTTTGTATTCAGTGAAGGTTTAAAAATGTAGTACAGTTCTTTGTTTTGTTGTTCAGTAAATTTGAAGTGAACACGATTTCTGAAATATTTGTTCTCTCCGGGATTTCCAAATCTTGATGTTTCCCGCCGGATTTCCAACATCAAACACAATTAATTTACGACTGATTTCCCCCAACTGATCCTGATGTTCCAAAAAAAATCTACCGGGTTTTATAGCTTCAGCTACTTAGATTAAATTAGAATGTATCTTTAAACACGAATAAAAAAGGGTTTTAAAAGAAAAAAAATGACTTGAGGGGAAAGTCAAAGTACATATATAATATCAAAAATATTTCAAAATTACAAATATATAGTCTGATTAAAAAAGTTTTAACGAGAGAGAGAGAGAGAGAGAGAGAGAGAGAGAGAGAGAGAGAGAGAGAGAGAATGAACAAGGCATACATTGACCAGATTGTAACAACTCTAAGTATTCAGATGATAGAGGTATGTTTAAACAACAAGTTGCCTTGTATCCTAAAATTTTATGCATTGATTTCATATTTTACAATTGGATTCAATTTTGTTTATCTAATAGGCGAAAAAACCCTCAAAATTTACTAAAGATGAGCTTTTCCTCCATTCATCTCTAAGGTCGATAGCGTCAAAATACTCTATCCAGCATTGGTACAATCCTTCGTCACCGCAGACAACATCGTGTATTACCAATGTGGCACTGGAGTATACATTAGTATTTAATGTTACAAGTTTTGTTCTATTTCCAAGATCAGAAACCATGTCAGGGTGAATATAGGGTTCTTGTCCGCCAAGAGGAGAAAACACCGCAACATCTTCAAAACTATTGTTTATTTGTTTTTGCCATTTAATCTCTCCATCTGATATACTTTCTCCATGTTCCACTGAATAATTGCAGCTCAGAACAAGGCTGGTTACACTTCTAAATTTTACCTTAAGTTCAGGTGAAGTCGATATGGTGAGTAAGGTTACACCTATAAAAAAATTATTTGCTTTTCAAAAGTGTAAATTTAATATGTGTATTATAATTATTTAGAATGCAGAAATTGAGCATATATCGACTTTTTAATTTTTACTAAGTAGTCTCAAATTCATAAAAATAGTACTGTCATTTTGAAATGAAGCATATGGAGATAAATAACAGTATTGAAGATCATAAATCCATAAAACAATACAAAAAAGGAGCAGAGAAAACAAGGAGCTCTAAAACTTCAGAATTTGGATCAGGTGCCATGGAGGCTACTCCTACAAGTAAGAGCCTCGGTTAACGTCCCTACGCTCCTTAGATACCTCGGCGCCAAGTCAAAAGTATCTCGCCGTGAACCTCTAGCATGCTGGAGTACCATGGAGGCGTGAGCATCCCCTGCCGGCCGGTCACACACGCCTTGTGCTATTGATATCAGCGTCTTGTTTAAAGTCATCATTTCGTAAGTTCTATTGTCGATACAATGTCCTTATCAGCAAATAAATTAATCATTGAGTTAATTGCTGACTAACGTTTTTCATACTAATTTAAAGTCCATTACTGACGACGGATTTTCCCGTTATTTCCCGACCATGACAAGGAGTACATGGCGGGTTGACCGGTCGGCAGGGGATGCCCACTCCTCCATGGCATCTGATCCCATCTCTGATGTTTTGGAGGTCCGTATTTGCTCTGCTCTTATTTTGTATTAATTTATGAAATTTTAATCTTGAGAACTGTTTTTATCTCCATATGTTTCTTTCAAAAAGAGAGACAAAAATTAATTTAATTATTATTATTATTTTTATTATCAAGCGAAAATCAAAAAGATGAAGTCATAATTTTCCGATCATTTATATAAACTTACAAAGGAGTTTTCTGAATATATTAAGTTCAAAAGTAAACAAAAATGATTAATTCTTGCCCTTTGTCAAGTAAAGTATCAAAATCCCCAGTTTTATCATCTTTTTGGTGTACATATCATTTAGTCAGGAGTCTTCTACAAAAAACAAATGTAATCTTTAAAAGAAAGAAAGGCAACATACATCTAAGATATTAACATTTCTAAAAGTATGGAAATAACTATGTCATTGTTGTGGTTTTGTAACACATGACGAGATTTTGATTTCAAATCAAGAATCAAATAAAATGTAAATATAAGAATAAGTTGTTTTTTTTTTTTTTGGTTAATGGTCTATCAATTTGCTGGTGTGATAAATTTATGAAACTTGTAAATCTTCATACCTGGTCATTATTCATCACCTGAATTGTTTTAAAAGCATTCGACTTTACACATCGGTATTTAATTCAAATTTTTAAATTCAAAGATGCTAGAGTTTCTGATTGTCAATAACTACAAAGTATGGTTTTTGTAAACTAGGTCTCTACTAGAGACCACCATTGTTTGCTAACTAACAATTTACATTGCATGTTTATAATAAATAAGATGATATTACCAGTATCATTGTGAAACTCCCAATTTATATAGAGGATTAATAGAAACATTCATTACAACGAGTGTGGGGATAGTGAAATTCACCGAGGGGACAAGATTCACTGTCTAGGACGAGGCTTTGCCGAGTCCTAGACCGTGAAACTTGGCCCCAAGGTGGAATTTCACTATTCCCACATGAGTATGTAATGAATGATTATTTTTATCGCTTATACTTATACTAATCCGTTTCCTTATTATTTATGATAAAGATGACATACCCTTATTAGATAGTTACATAACACGGTTTAAGCTGCATTACAACAATATTTGAGATTGACATACAATGTCACATTGAATATGAAATTATGTTAAATTACAAAAATAAGTGACGTTCTAATTATACGTAAGAAATCTAATAGATGTACAATATGTATGTGAAGAAAACATTAATATAGAAAGTGGTTGAATTAACAAAGAAGAATATTATAGAGAATAAATACAGGAGAAGTAATAAATATAAATTTGAGAAAAATAACAACAAAAGAATGGGGAAATAATGAGGAAAAAATGAATGACGCTTGCTTCATGCAGTTGACAGAATGTAAACAAAAACATACCCACAGAAGATGGAGGAGTAAATAGTTACTATGGGGAAACTACTGATTACGCCATCTTAATTATACTGATAATAATTGACTTGGTATTGTTCGGTTTATCCTGACTATTCACATGTGATCTGTCGACATATGATGCTTATTCCTCCATGGCATCTGATTCCACTCTGGCCTTTTATTTTACCTTGATTATTGTTCTTTATCTCCATAATACATGCATTAAGGCTTCAGCTTAATTGCAAACTATTACATATGCAGTCTGGTTGACCACATCATTAAAACAGGTTTTTTTTCCCTTAATCAAAGCTATCAATGCATTCAAATATTATTCCACTTCACATTCAGTGTATATCAAGGGCGACCTTTATCGCAACTAATGATCCAACATAATTTATTTAATGGTCATCTGAAAAATATTTTCGCTAATACATATATTTCCAAGCAAAATGCTAAAAACTACTTGCATTATTTATAGTCAATAAACACAAATAAGTAACAGAATCATGATCTCAATATCTTTCTTTTTTCTTGATTCAAGGCAAAAAAAATGTACAAAGCATATTAATTATTTTAGAATTGCAAGCAATTATTGTGATTTATTTGTTTGAAAATACCATTATCTATTTTTACGCACAGAAAATACTTAGAAAGAATGAATCATAGTGGACTTTTACGAGGAGCACTGACTTTTACAGATGACGCTTACTTTTACACTAGGGCTATATATGGTAGTTCCTTTACAAAATAAATACTTAGCTCAACATTTAATTAAACGAAAATTTTTGTTGATTTGCACGAGGAAACTTTTGATTCATAATTTTACCAACTTGTGGTAGAGGAAATATTTATGGTAAAGGTTTTGGGGGCGACATTAAAATGAGGAAACTTAAAAAGTAGATGGAATATTATTACGTGAAAAAATAATAATTATTTTAATCAAGAACCAAATGACATTTTACTTATTTTGACAACCAGAAGTCTCTGTCGAGACTATAGTTCTACTGGTTTGTACTTGTAACAAAGGAAGAAAAAAACAGCAATTGGACTTGAAACTTTGCAAAAGTAATAAATAGAATCATGATCCTTGATTTATACTCTTTTTGTGACAAGAATTTTTGTGGAAAAAAAATGTAGGAGTAGCGTTTTGAATTTTTTTTTTGAAATTTCATTTTAAGTTACAACAAGGTACGTCATTCATAAAAACATAACAATATAGGGAACAGTTATGTACCTATGTGTAGTCTACTTCAATGCCGCATTATATTGAAATCAGACCAAAACTACAGGAGGAGTAGTATTTTAAATGTATTTCACAGACATTTCTATTTTTAGTAAACATGGGGACACCGTTCATCGAAATCAAAACTGATATACAGAATTATGTATCATACATACATACCTTTTAAATGTATTTCACAGAGATTTTTATTTTTAGTAACCATGGCAACACTGCTAATAAAAATTAAAAGACGATACGCAGAATTTAGCTGCAGAACTGTAGCTCTCCGAAAAAGTATATATTTACAGACCGGTGTGTCAATCTATATTTTTTTTGGAGAGCTTCAGTTCTGCAGCTACACAGAATTATGTATCTTGGTGTAGAACCACCCATCTGCAATGTTATATTGAAATCAGACAAAAACTGTAGGAGGAGTAGCATTTTAAATCTTTTTTCACTGATATTTCTATTTTTAGTAACCATGGAAACACCCTTGATCAAAATCAAAAACTGAAACAAAATTATATATTAATTGGTCTACTCTTGTGCAAAGTTATATTAAATAAGACAAAAACTGTAGGAGGGGTAACTTTTGAAAAATAATTTACAAACAGACAGACAGACGACGGACACCTTACTATCGTCTACTAGTAAACTCTAGTTGTCTTGAGCTATAATTATATTAGAGGTAATTGGTAATATACATTCTTGATTGATAGAAATGTTTTTTTTTCTTTTTAAACAATTTTCATTTTAACAATTAATTGCCTATGATAGCAAGTAATGATCCAACATAATTTATTTAATGGTCATCTGAAAAAATATTTTTGCTAGTTCATATTTTTCTGATCAAAATACTGAACACTACCAGCATTATTCATAGTCAATAAACACAAATAAGTAACAGAATAATGATCTCAATATCTTTCTTTTTTCTTGATTCAAGACAAAAAATGTTTAAAGCATATTAATTATTTTAGAATTGTAAGCAATTATTGTGATTTCAATGTTTAAAAATACCATTAAAATATTTTTACGCACAGAAAATACTTAGAAAAATAAATCATCTTGCTATATTGAATATTATACCACAGATGTAGAAAATTAACCAGAGACTCTTGCTTCAGGGTTTCAAAAGACTCCAAATTATAAAAAAACAACAACACATATCTTTATTAGATTTGATTACTTATTTCTTTTTTTTTTAAAAAAAAAAGGATGAAAAAGAACAAAAAATTACCTTTCTAAAATGTTCTTAAGCTGCTGGAATAAATATGTTGATATTATCGGTTTATTTCTAAGGGTTTCATTTACGTTAGTGATTCAAAAAGCAAACCTAGTCTTAGAGAAACAAGCAGAAATCTGAGGATGTGTTTGAAGGTGCTGTAAATGATTTGCAC